AAATTTGGGTCTTCAAATACAGATTACTGAGGAATTGAAATTAAAGTGTTATGTCGATAGTGACTATGCAAATGACATAAACACAAGGAAATCAAATTCTGGGATTATAATATTGTTTGGAGGGACTCTGATTGGATGGAAATCCAGAAAACAAACAACTGTTGCTATTTCAACAGCGGAAGCAGAGTTTATTGCTTTAGCTGAATTGTGTTCTGAAGTAACATGGTATGTACAGTTGTTGCAAGATTTAAATATTAATGTAAAAGAATCTGTAAAGGTATTTGAAGACAATGCTGTCTGTATAAAAATGGCAACTGGTGATAGGGTGAAGAACAGAAGTAAACATGTAGACATTAAATATTGTAATGTCAGGGAAGCTGTAAAAGGAAAATTGATTAGTTTACATCATTGTTCTTCTGAGGATAATTTGGCAGACATGATGACTAAACCATTGGATGGTATTTACTATGGAAAATGTATTAAGTCAATAGGTCTGATGTCTCTTCCTATCATGAAGGGAGGAGTGTTGGAATATTCATGAGCAGGAAGAGTCATGTGGTAACTCAGTCAGCCAATGTGAAGAAAGTGCTACTGAGTCTGTGCAAAAGGTTATTGAGTTAGAAGCTGGGTTTCAGTTTCAGTCTCAGGTCTGTCTCTGCTTTAAGAAGTCTTCATTTGTGCTATGTTGCTGTAAAGAAGAATGTATGGTACTGTAAATATTTTGCTATGAATATAAAGAGTTTATTTGAATCAGCTATATGCAGTCAACTGTGAGAGCTTCTGATTTATTTTTTCACCAATAGAGAAATTAAAATTCTCTAACAACAAATATTTTGTAGCTTACGGAATAATAATTGCAGATGAATGGACTTTTTCTCTTTTGTAGTTGATGTGTCCGCAACAATACCTTTGCAAGTTTCACCTATGGATTTTCACTTGGATCATCAATTCTCCATATCAGTGACTGAACCTACATTACGTGAACAGCAGCTCCAACAGGAATTGTTAGCCCTCCAACAAAAACAACAAATCCAAAGACAGATCCTCATAGCAGAATTCCAGAGACAACATGAACAACTTTCTCGTCAACATGAAGCCCAACTACATGAACACATAAAGGTGTGTGATGCAGCTTGAAGGGCAGGGATGTGGGGTATATGTGCAAGCTTATGGTTCTTATATATTATATTTTTAAAAATTCAATTTGTGTGTGTGCCTCCCTGCCTCCCTGACTGACACACTGACTGGAGTATTATTCTTGCTGATGTGCAAGAAGTTCAGTTTCCATAGTGTCTCAGTGAGTAAGCGAACAACGAGAATAAACAAGACTTTACCAAGGGAGTCTCTTTATTCTTTTTTGTTCTAGTTCAGGCTAATCTTCATCCAAAAAATGGTTTCTGAAAACTTAGAACCAGAGCAAGTTACATGGGAAAAAAATTGTGGATTTGGCTAGAATGCTCAGTGGGGGAGGTTGCAAACCACATGGACAGCAAAGGTAATATCATCATGATCAGCAAAAGTGTTTTGTTTTTCTGCTACAAGGGCTAGCATATATTCGTATTGGAAGAGTGAATGAAGACAAGATTGCTATGTACAACACATGAGGGAAAATGCTAATTTCCTGAACTGCACAGCTAAAGTTCTTCAGGAGTGACAAGAGAAGAGAAAAAGAAACCAGAGGACAGGAAAATCTCTTTGGTGGAGACCAACATATGGAAAAATGTATTCCAAAGAACCATTCTGTACTAGTAGAGCTCAGAAACTGGTGCAGGCTCTCCCTTCAGAGGACAAAAGATACTTAAATCCCCATGGATCAAAGAAACCTAAGAGCTGCTTTGAGAAAAAGAAGAGGTGTGCCATAATGGTGGGTGAGCCCAGGTTGAGAGGGAGAGAGATGGCTGGATACAATGCAGATCAGAAAAAAAAAATCTGTATTAGAATCAGTTTGCTTCAAGTCATAGAATTGTAAGGTAGGAAGGGACTTTACAGGTAATCTAGTCCAATCCACTGCCCAGAACAGAAATCCTCACAATATCCTGGACAAATGGCTATCCATTTTTTTTCTTAAAAAACCTCAAATTATGGTGCACCCACAAATTCACGGGACAAGCTGTTCTTTAGGTCAGTGGCCTAAAGTGGTCACCTTTTGGGCACCAGGGACCGGTTCCATGGAAAGAGGTTTTTCTGCAGACTGGAAGGGGCGTGGTTTCACATGCTGCCTACATCCTGCAGATGGGGCTTCGCTTGTTTGCGTGGACCAGTTTCTGACATGCAGTGGCCCATTTCTGGTCCATGGATTGGGGGTTGGGGACCCCTGCTTTGGATAAAACATATCCAGTTTCTGGAACTGTTCTTCATAGAATTTAGCCTCCAAGCCCCTTATAATCCTTGCTACATTCTCATCTGCCCTCTTTTCAGTTCCTCAGCATTGTTTTGGCATGTGACCAGAAGTGGGCACAGTGTTCCATTACTATTAGCTGAGCAGTGCACCATAGACTAGTACTATCACTTCTTGTCTTCTTGACTCAATTCCTCTGTTGAATCAGCCTCAAATGGCATTGGCTGTTTTGGCAGCTACAATACATTGCTGGTTCATGCTTAATCTGTGGCCCACCAAGATTCCACAATCATTCTTACAAGTACCTGTGCATCTGATTTTTCCTGCCTAAGTGCAGAACCTTGCAATTCTCATCATTAAGCAACATTTTGATAACAAAATATCTAGGGGCCAATGCTCAAGTATATCAAGAACTTTTTGAATCTTGAAACTGTCTTGTGATAGTCTAGCAATCTCCCAGCTTTGTGTGACCTGCAAATATTATAAGCATCCTTCTCTTATCTAAATCATTTATAAATATGTTTTTTTTTCATGTATAAAATTTTTATTATTTTCATCATTAAAAAAAACATCACAAATATTACACAATGCTATGAAAAAACCCCCACCCCCCCGGACTTCCCAAACCTAATCCCAGGATAATATTCAGATATAAGTAAACAAGTATTAATATCTCTAACTCCACAAAATGTATTATTCTACATGTATAGGTAAGATATATTAAAAAGAAAAAAAAGAAAAACAAATTTACTAAAAACCTAGATTATATTCCACCACTCTATGCTTCTTTTGAATATAAACAATCCATCTTCTCCATATTAATAAAAATTGTTCGTTTGAATGATTCTTCAAGTAAGCCGAAATCTTTGCCATTTCAGCAAGGTTCGAAACTTTCAATCTCCAGTCTTCCATTG